GAAGCACTACTATGGGCATCCATATGGCCTCACAATATGCTAGCATTTTTATGGCTGACCTCGAACAAAATGTTTTCTGAGCTCTCACCCTCTAGCTTCCTTCCTCTAATTATGCCAGATTGATGACATCTTCATTATATGAACCAACAGAAAGACCCTTAGAGAACTCCACATGGATTGCAACAATTTTCACCCCACTATGAACCTTAGACTGGACCAGCCAACACAAGAGATTCACTTTCTTGACACTGCAGTACAATTAAATGATGGCCACATTTCTACCACCTTATACCAGAAACCTACCAACCACTGTTCTTACCTACATGTCTCTAGCTTCCATTCAGAACACATCACACAATCCACTGTTTACAGGCAGGCCACAAGATACAACTAGATTGGATTTGCTCTAATTCCACAGACAAATGCCTACCAGACTATCAGGCATTCTTAAAACTTAAATATTCACCTAGAAAAGTGAAGAAATAGATTGAAAGAGCCAGACAAGTACCAAGGAATCTGCTTCTTCAAGACAGGTCCAAAAAGGAAAATAACAGAACATTACTAGTCATCACCTACAGCCCCCAGTTTAAACCCCTTGAGCACGTCATTGGCAATCCTACAACCTATCCTGGAAAACGATCCCCACTCTCACAAACCTTGGAAGACAAGACAATCCTTTCCTACAATCCCTTATCCCGAAGCAAATTCTTTCCAGCAGCCACTCATCACACCTCAGACATCATACCCACGAACTTACCCCTGCAATAAACTCCATTGCCAGCTCTGTCCACATATCTATACAAGTGACAGCATCACAGGACCTAACCAGGTAAGCCACAACATCAGGGACTCATACAACTGCACATTCTCTAATCTGATCTATGTCATCAAGTGCCAGCAATGCCCCTCTGCCATGATATTGGCCAAACTGCACAGTCTCTGCGACAAAGGATAAATGGACACAAGTCAGATATCAGAAACGGTAACACACAGAAACCTGCAGGGGGACATTTTAACCTGCTTGGACACTCAATCATGGATTTATAAGTAGCCATTCTTCTGCAAAGGAATTTCACAAGCTAATTATAGAGAGAGAGTGCGGAATTGACCTTCATATGCAAATCAACAAAGACATTGACTGGATGTCTCATTATAAAACCAGCCTTCCATATATCCAACACCCTATAGACATCAAAAGCTAAATATGAGATACTTCCAGCCCACTCAACCTCATTAGTACCTGCACTACAACTGACAGGTAGTTTCCCCCCCTCCCTTCTTTTTCTATTATAAATTCTGGGTTCCCTTTTTTTCCATTCCAGCTCATGTGAAGAAGTGGGTTTTGCCCACAAAAACTCATGATACTATATATAATTTTGTCAGTCTCTGAGGTGCCACAGGACTACTCAATATATTATTCAACGAGCAGCGAAATGTATTACATGAAATGGTAGAAGCTACAGTTACACTAATATAAGAACCACCACTGGAAGTGGTTCCCAACTTTCTTCAGTTTACTGAAGCAGATTCCCTATTTGAAGCAGATTGCTGTTTCCCCCACCCACCCTTCCAGTGCTTCATGACTTAGCACAGACATTGTCTTCTCTGCTTTTGTGCCCATCCTTTTCCACCTTCTTGTAGCCCCATTGGAAATGGCATTTTCATGTTTTTCTGTAGCTGAACTGAAACCAGGAGAATGTGAGGTTTGGGCTTGCATTCTTCTACTTGGCCCTGCCAATGCTGGCTGCACTGGGGCATCTGTGGCAATAACTTGGAAAGGATTTGCCTGAAGAGTGTTCCTTAATGAGCATGCAACAGAGGGGGAACAGTGAACTGGGCACAATTTACAATGATGCACAGGTATAAACAAGAGAAGAAAAAGTAAGTCAAGGCCCCAGGCTACCTCTGGACCTGGCGACTAATCCTGTGAACTGGACCCAGCTATCTCCATCTCCCTTAATCAACTTCAAGCAAGTGGCATTTGAAAAGCCCTACACCCTTCACAGCTCTTTTCCACAAGCAGCTAGCACCAGCCACAGCCATGGCATAAGGTACAAGTCAGGACCATCCAGCTGCCCTTTATCTCATCTATAGACCATCACAGCTTCCTGACACTCACTTAGCTCTGAAATTTGGACTCTGAGTATTGGGGATTTTTTTTCATTTGCTTTATTTGCTTAATTTGACATGGGGTTTTTTGTTTCCCATCTTTCCCATAATTAAAAACCTTTAATTGTTCCATACATAAATACTATCTCTTGTGCTTTCCCTTCCTCGTTTTCTTCTACCTCAATTTATTTTTCTTTGCTTTTTCCCATAATCCGTGGCCTTGAGTATTTATTAATCCTCTCACCAATTTAGCCCCTCCAAGCATCCACTCCATCAAAAGAATACAAATAAAAGCTTGCAACCCTAAAACTAAGTTTCAATATATAAACAGAAGAAGCTGCATGCACAACCCACATCAGTCCACTTAAAGGACAGCCAGCTCCAGCAGTAACTATCACCACCAGTTATCTTCTCCAAAGGTTCTTCCTAGATAGCACTCTAAAGAAGTACCGCCAAAAATTCTCATATGGTTTCCCCTGCTCTACAGATACCAGAATATATATGCTTTCAGGAGAATAATGAATATTCCAGGACTCCAGAGACAAGGTAACAACCTAGTCTGAAGCCTCATGTCTGTCTTGCAGCAGGCTGCTTCGTGTTATCTTCTCCATCCACAATGTTATTTATCTCTTTCATACAGCTCATTTTTCCTTGCATACTTTCCTCCCCTGGTATTTCTCCTCCTCCCTCACCCTTTTGACCTCATCTATATTCTCCCTTTAAAAAGCATTTCCAAAATTAATTCAAGTAAAATCTCTCAAATATAACCAACTTAATTCCATAAGCTTGATTGTAATCTTTGTGCTCTCCAGCCTCTTGTGTCCTGTCTTAGGCGAAGTCTACATGTACAGATGCACAATACACTTCCAAAAAAGTGCTTCTGAGAGTGTATCTTGTACAACAAGTGAAAGAAGATATTTCAGCAAAAGCATTTTTATGCTGGCAAGCCACAGCTTTTGCCAATATGGAAACATAAATAATCACACCCCTACCCAACCAAAGTTTCTAACAAAGAGTTACATTTAGATTGCTAGTTCTTCTCAACAGGGACTATGTATCATTTGTTTGGAGATAAAACATTGTGAATGCTTTAAAAAGAACATATACCGTATTTTCCGGCGTATAAGGCTACTGGGCGTATAAGACGACCCCCTAATTTTTTAGTTAAAAGTTTTCGTCTTATACCCCAGCGCCCCTCCGCCTCCCTGGCTTTGCTCCCGGTGTCCCTGGTCTACTGGAGACGGTCCCCAGCAGACCAGAGGCACCGGGAGCAAAGCCGCAGCAGCGGCGGGGGGCCTGGGATGCCCCGCTGCCGGCTTCCCCCGAGGCTTTGTAAAGCCGCGGAGGGGCTCGGGCGGCGGGTCGCCTGTATACCTGGCGTATAAGATGACCCCGATTTTTGGGGGATGTTTTTTAGCATCAAAAGTCGTCTTATACGCCGGAATATACGGTAGTTTAGTCACAACTATATTGGACTTTGAGAAACTCCAGAAATTTCTAAAAAGCCAGACAATTGGATTACAAGGAGCTTATGAAATTCAGTATTGAGAAATCTGAAGTAGTTTTTGTTGTCTAGGTATAATTTTAACTACCTATACACATGGAGCTATTTAGGAAGAAACAATAAGGTGTTCTCGAGGATGAAAATATCCTTCCAATGAAAACATGTGCTTGATGATCAACAGTGACCCAGAAAAAACAACATATTAAGACACATTAAGAACAATATATTGCTGAAAATAAATACCTTCATGTAAGCACAAGGTATGCCCAGGCCTGCCAACAGTGGGGGGGAAACAGGACAACTGCCTCATGACCCAGCAATTCAAAAGGGTTCAGTGCTCCCGGCCACTGTCGGAGTCTCAGGCAGTGTGCTGCGGGCAGTCCTGAGTGCTGCCTGACCCAGCCACACCCCTTCCAGGGGCACAGAGTCAACCCCTTCTCCCCACCGACCTTGCCCAGGACCCCAGTGAGTCTGGTGCCTCCCCTAAGTATGCCCCTACCTGGAATGCTACAATTAGTTATTTTTAAATGTTTATATTGCAGTAGCATCTAAACACTTGGGATTGGAGCCATTCTGTGCTAGGAACCGTACAAACACAGGAATCTTCTCTTTCACACAATCATCCCATCTCATTAAGACGGCATCAGTATTGGGATACAAAAATTATTAGGGACATGAAATTATTTCCACATGGGAAGACTGAAAAGATTAGGACTATTTAGATGAAGAAGACAAAAGTAAACTGATGGGATCTATAAAATAATGAATAAACAAGAAATGCTAAATAGAGGTCTTAATAATATATAAAAAAGATGAAATACTGAAAAGCAGTACGTTTAAAAGGAAACATCTTTAAAAGTTACAAAAACCCATTTGTAAGAACATTAGACTCTAGGAAATATTGCAATACCACAATCCTGTGCCCATTGAAGTCTGCTGTTACTCCCCTACTATGCAAGAAAATGGTCAAAGTATTATTCAGATTCTTGCAAAAGAGACCACAAGAACAAAAGGAGACATTGCTAAGTGCTGGAAGAAATACATTGTGGCATTTAGATTTGGGCAGACAGTTTTCAAAAAATGACTGTGTGTTTGTGAAACATTTCTTGTATAAGTCACAAGATTTTTATAAAAAAATGAATATCCAAAGAGCACACTAAGTAATGTAGCTGTTTAGCGTGAGCCTGTGGCCAAAAATAACATTTGCATAATCAGTCCCTACAAAAAGAGTAATAATTTCATTATAAAACATATTAGCAAATTCTACAATGCTTGTCAATAGGCATCGACATACCAAGGCACAGTGACACAAAATAGAGAAAATTTTAGAATTCCAAAAAAAGAATAAAAAGTAGCCAGAAATATTAAGCAAGCTGAAACTGATTACCTGTATGTTTTAATATTTTTCGAGAAAAAAGTATTGATGACTGGATATCTGGATCCAGTGACAAGGAAAATGAAGTTGAAAAGAAGACTTCTATAAAACAGGCAGAAGACAGTCAAGTAATTGTTAACAGAATCAAAGACAAAGTAATTTAAAAAGACAGTCAAAAATGGCCAGATGTGAAGGGAGAGGAAGACGGCCAAAGCAGAGAAGGAGAAAACCTGAAAAGAAGAAAGAAGAATCAATTAATTGCAATAATTAAAGGGCTAGATTTTTTATTCCAATTTCTTTAGTTTACATAATTTTTTTTTCAGAACCAGTTTTTGCATAACATTTAACTAGCTCTAATTACATATTACTATGTTTTCCCACAAATAATATTGATGGGGATATAGCTCATTTGTAATATAAATGTGTCATGCTGGAATACTACCATCAAAAGATTACTCCAGCCTCAGCCTCATGCATGACTAACTAACCAAAGGCCAGGTCTACACTACAGCCAGTGTTGACTTCAAGTCATCATTGTCAAGCACTACAGCCAGTGTTGTCTTCAAGTCATCATTGTCAAGTCCAAGTCGAGTCTCAAGTCACTACAGTTCACGTCGAGTCTCGAGTCCCTAAAGTCACTTTCAAGTCAAGTCCCAAGTTGAGTCTTAATTTAAAAAATGTCAAGTCACTTTTGTACAAGCCATCAATATTGGCATTTTCGGACAATTTTTTCACCAGGTTGATTTAACAAAATTAGCAAGTCTCAAGTCACAAACAACGAATCCGAGTTGAGTCTCAATTCGAGTCACCTAGGTGACTTAAGTCAGACTCGAGTTCAAGTCGTGGGACTTGAGTCAACAAGTCGTGGGACTTGAGTCAACAACTCTGACTACAGCTGAAGGTTGGCTTAAGGTACACATTTTCAGCTACGTCAAAAATGTATCTGGAGTTGACGTATCTTAAGCCAAATTTCAGCATTGTCTTCACAGTTGGAGGTCAACAGGATAAATGCTCCCGTTGACTTCCCTTACTCTTCACAAGGAACAGGAGTTTCAGCATTGATGGATGCATCCTCATCATTAGATTTAGTGGATCTTTACTAGAGCCACTAAATCAAATGACCATTGCAGCTTCAATCTTCTCCATAGTCTAGCCGTGGCCAAAGTGAAGCTATATCTTAGCATGATGCAAACACTGCCATGTCTTATTAACCAAGTATGGGAAAAATAAATTCTAGTTTGTTTACGTAAGGCTCAGATCCACTATACATCTCACAGCATAAAACAAAGGGCCACAATGCAGGAAAGAAAATAGGATAAATGTAGTAGAAAAGAACATACTTTAAAAAAACCAGCATTTTAAAGTAATTTAATCCTTAATGCAGCTAACCATAGTTGTCATTTTCCAACTTTTGGAAGATTTAGAGGTTTAAGAAGGCAAATGATATTAATTTTAAATTTTACATTTGCAAAAACTCAGTGTAGCTGAATCTAAGTGCCTGAGACCTAATGTTCTTCATAGTTGTATCCATTATAATTATCTATCCCAAGAGCATTTAGTTTGAATCTTTATGATTCCAGACTCTGTTGATTATGCTTCCTGATGCCTTATTACTCCTGCTAACCGCATTCCAGTGTTTTTTTTTCTCACTGCTAGACATGACAAATATGGTTGAGCTTTGCAGCCTGAATGATTACAATTAACCTCATGTCAGTGCCCAGAAAACAGTCTTTGGGAGAAATCATGCAGCTGAGAATACTGAAACCTAATACAACCTAATACAACTTGAACCGCAACAAAACCAGACAGAACATGAAAAAAAAAATTAAGTGGGAGATACTTGGATGTTCATTAAGCAGCTGGGTAATTAATCCTACAAATTGACATTTTTTAGGTTTAATTTGTTTAAAAAAATGCCCTGATTTCCTTTGCTCAAAGACACTTCCATTGGGCTTGGGAGAGATATTTTTCAAAGTTTTACTTACATTTCCTGGAAATTTGCGTTTGAATTTTATTATCCTTTAATTATCTGTTAAAAATAGTTGGACAATAATTTTTGGAGCCTGTATAACTATGTAGCACAAAAAAGCAAATGCCTTAAGCACAATCTTGGATAAAGATAGTGGCAAGCAAAATTATATTCTAGAGTGAGTCAAGTAGCACAGTATAAAGTCAATTATTAACATATGAAAATAGATCCTCTCTGCAAGCCACAGCAAAGTATCATCAGTGTTTTTTGTTTTATCTCCAGAATCTGTACACTGTTAAGTACATGTTTAACTAACAAATAAACAAACAAAAACCTGACAGCAGATCTTATAAAATAGTGGATAAACGAGGATCTAGATAACTTGTTCGAGAAACACGCCATCTACCGCAGGCATGTCAAACTTGAATCCTACTGAGGGCCACAAGAACAAAAACTGGCCACCAAAGAAAATGGTGGCCAGTTTTCTTTCAGGGCCACCAAAGAAAATGTACCTCTATCAGAAAGTTTTAATTATTTATTATTATAGATTATGTTTTAGGTATATTTTATATTTTTTTCAGGTCGTTTGAATCTAATACAATAATTTGATGTGTAAAAATTTTTATTTGCTCATATTCAATAATTTTTAATTTAAATATAAATTTAAGGTACTTTTAAATTTTTTATATGATACATATATGTTTTGTTGAAATACAAACAAGTATAGAAAATGGTTAATCGAATAACACTACTGCCTTATTATGTCTTGTGAGTTTTTTAAAATTAAACTGAACTGAGAAATAAATTAGCACAATTTGGAAGTGTCTGTTTCACTACAGATTTTTGATCTCTGGTATGGTTGTCTCAGTTTTTTTTTTTTAAACTTATGACGATTATGGCTTTTTTATAGTTCTAAAAATTCAGGTCTGTCCCAGACTACAAATATGACAGGTTCAAAAACAATAAGGGAGAGACTCATATCTCTCAATAATTGCTTCAGACTGGCAAACAATAGCCTTTGAATTTTCTTAAAGAAACACAGTGTAAACCAGGTACATGCTGATTCTTTTTTTTTTTGCCCTGGAATTTAAATATCACATCTCTGTTGGGTGCCTTATTCTGCATCCATGTCCCCTCCTCCCCAAGAGTCTATTTGTCCTGTTTTGCTGGGTACATAATTCATTTTTTAGCAACACCCATTTTTTAACGACCCCCGCCACCCCCCTCGACTCCTGCCTTCCCCCTCCCCACTTTAAACTAATGCCTGGGTCCTGGAGCTGCTGCTGCCTCCAGGCGCTAGGGCACATGCATAGTATGGCCAGCCATAAGCAGGTGCTGGGATGCTGTGTACGACCCCCGCCACCCCCCTCCACTCCTGCCTTCCCCCTCCCCACTTTAAACTAATGCCTGGGTCCTGGAGCTGCTGCTGCCTCCAGGCGCTAGGGCACATGCATAGTATGGCCAGCCATAAGCAGGTGCTGGGATGCTGTGTGCAGAGAGGCTGGCTGTGAGGAGGCGCTGGGATGCCATGCACAGAGTGGTCAGCCATGAGCAGATGCTGGGGTGCGGCACTTAGAACCTTTATAAAAATGTAGTAGGGGGGCACAAAAAAATTCGATCAGGTCGCATGTTTGACATGACTGATCTATAGGCACCCAGGGAATGAGTACATTGCACTTAAAAACCCATGGCTGGCCCATATCATCTGACTCAAGTTTGAGCTAAGGGATTGTTTAATTGTGGTGAAGACTTACAGGATCTTGGATCCTACTAGGTAGGAGAGTCCCAGAGCTTGGGCTGCAGCCTGAGCCAAATGTTTACACTGCAAATAAACATCCCCTTAGTCTCAGCCCCAGAATACTCCTAAGTCAGGAGGGAGCAGGCAAGAAGCAGCCTGGGTAGCATGCACCTCAACTACTGGGTCAAGAAACATCTTGTTGCCTATTGCTGCCACGGGCAAGCAATAGCAGAAAGATACAGGGCAGCAAGCAAAAGACATGGGATAACTGTCTGTAAGAATAGCAGAACGGTACCAAAGAGTCACAAGGAGTTCAGTCTAGAATTTCTGCAGCTCGGTGACTCGTTACCTACAAAAAGATAGATTGGAGCAAATATTCCAGGCTTTAACAGCCCAAGGGGCCCCATGAGACATAGTTTTCCTTATGCATAGGGCCCTACCAAATTAACAGTCCATTTTGGTCAATTTCATGGCCTTAGGATATTAAAAATACTAAATTTTGTTATTTCAGCTATTTGAATCAGCTGTAATTGTGGGTGACCTGACCCAAAAAGGAGATGAGGGGCCAAGCAAGACTATTGCACAGTGGAATTGATCAAGCCTTCGGCCCGCTACCCCTTCCTCCTTCTCCACACAGGAACTAATGATACTGCCAAGAATGACCTTGGGCAGGTCACTGAAGATTGATCAAGGATTTTGAGGTGCAAGTGGTGTTCTTGTCCATCCTCCCTGTTGGAGGAAAAGGTCCAGGTAGGGATCATCGAATTTTGCAAGTAAATGTGTGGCTGTGCAGGTGACAGAGAGAGGGCTTTGGTTTTTTTTACCCTGGGATGCTGTTGCAGCCACAAGAGTTACTAGGAAGACATGAGATGCACCTAACAAAGAGAGGGGAAAGCATCTTTGTAGGCAGGCTTGCAAATCTAGTGAGGAAGACTTTAAACTAAAAGTTCACTGGGATGCTAACTTAAGCCCTGAGCTAAGTGTGGAAGTGGGATAGCAGGAAGAAAGATGAGGAAGGTGCAACAGAGAAGGATCCCTGAATTGTACTGAGAAGGTAGGGCAATCAGCTAGTTATCTAAGGTGTCTGTGTACGAATGCAATAAGCCTCGGAAACAAGCAGGAAGAATTAGAAGCCCTGGCACAGTCACAAGCAGCTATGATTTGATTGGAATAACAGACTTTGTGAGATGATTCACATGACTGGAGCACAGTCATGGAAGACTATAAACTACTCAGGAAGGACAGGCAAGGGAGAAAAAGAGGAGAAGTTGCAGTGTATGTTAAAAAAAAACCCAGTATGACTGCTAAAAAGCTTCATCATCACGCAGTATAAAGCAGGAGAAAAGCCCTTTGGGTTAAGTTTAGAGGCAGGAGAAACAGGGGTGATGTCATGAT